TCATGTCATGGCCACTGGAGCCGAAATAAGTTTATTTTGTTCAAATCCGGTGCCTGGATTGATGGAATGCGTGACATGACTGACCCTATTTAGAATAAGAATCATGAACCAAAATAGACACCATGTAACCTGTTGGTACCTGGAATTGCTAGAGTGTAGGGGCCTATGTGCATGAGTTGCACCCTGTAATATGATTGATAATATTGTGTCAGACACATAACAGGACAGCTAAATGCATTTCTGTGTTATGTAAAAGCACCCCAAAAACAATGGTTTTATGTCCTGAAAACACTGTAAAGGGGAAAAAGTATCGATGAGAACTGTTAAGCCTTTTTCAAATTTCAGCCAGCAGAATGTACTCAAGTCACAGTTTGAGAGCGACGTCGGGAAAATCCCCGAATCCTCAGTCAGACAAACCATTACAGTGAGACTCCACACGCGTACAGCAATGCCATCAAGAATGAGAACGAGTACACAGAGACGGAGGCAAGGAGGTAGTACTAACAGGGATGGGTCATACGAGGATGTGGAAGTACCTGCTAAAAAACAGGCTTGAGAACAATTGAGAAATCAGGATTTGTCATGGTAGAACTCGCACATTGTGAGATGTTTGCTTAAATCCCGTGTAAAATGACTATTTTAGAAAGAGAATTGTAAAACTGAAAGGAATTAAAAGATTACGAAGTTTTATTGTCTGCTGAGAACCGAAAGGTATCGAGCGGGGCTTAATTGAAGTGATTATGGCGGTGGTGGAATGATACAAATGTGAAATGTTGTGCTTACCAGAAATCCGGAATGCTCGGATATTAGTTCGTTAAAATATCTAATTAATCTGTCCGAGTCTGATTTAAAATATGGCATGGACTTCGCCAGCATTGGGCAAGTGGAGAGGCGCTTCCACCTCCGGTCCCCCACTGGAAAAGCAAAAATATAATAATAATTAAATAAACAAAAGAAAAAAGGAAAAGAGATGTGAAATCATATTTGTTATTAATTTAATATAAATTTAACCAAATGAGCGTCTGCACGGGTGTCAATGGGGGTAAGTGGGTAAATGTCCCGGCCCACCTAAAAAAAAAATGATAAATTGAGAATGTGCTTGAGATTGTTCAAGGATTTTTGGGGGAAAATGTGCTTTGGCCCGCCCCCCCCCCCCAGAAAAAAAACCCTGGCGACGTCCATGTTTACCGTTCACAAAACAGTTAGATTTTTTCTTTGACCTGTTTGAATGAACTCCGTGGGCTGATTTCAATGGGGATACATAACCAAACATGATGCCTTCATTGTGTGAAGTCCATTGGTGTGTGAAACCTGCACACGGAAATATGACGGAAAAAAATAATATCTAAAGTGACTAGGCCTATACACGGTAATATTGTTGTACAGCAAACATCGATGACACGCAAGCCACGCTCTGCTTGGTGTACATACGTACATGTACATAAACATATTTATATATACATGATTAATGACAAATACTGGATTAGACTTGAGCAAAGTCAGTGCCCAAAACATTCGAAATGGATCGGCTCTCGACGGTGTCTCTGTTTTTGCTGTGTTCTTGGAGTTTATTTAGTGGGTTCGGAGTGGTTGTCAACGCAGAGCCTGCAGTGACAGCGTGGATCATTACACCGGAGAGAGATCGGAAGCTCGGCGGGCGAGTTGAGATGAGATGTGTGGCTACAAACCTGGAGGCATTTCACATCATGGACTGGACGACTAGTCATTCAACACTACTGCGATGGAATAACCTCACTGTAGTAGGAACTGATCCGCGATTTATGTTTGAGGCGAAGCAGACGGGTACCGGGGAAATTACTGAAGAATTCACCATTACTGATCTCCAATTGAGTGACAATGATGAATATAATTGTAATGTCAGGGAAACAATACCACCGGGAGTATACACAATTGTGGCCAGCACAAACGTCACACTGACAGTGTACACGTCCAGTGAGTCCTTCCCTATCTGCTCCCCTGATGGACCCATTACAGTAGACACTAGAACACAGTTGAATTTGCGCTGTTCGGCTGATACAGGTATGCCGGTAATCACGGTCACTCCAATTCCCGCAATGCCCAATACTTACCCATGGATCACATCAGTCGTCATTGGTACATCATCCATGTCATTAGATTTGACACTTGATGCTTCCCATGACAATCTGACATTCGAATGCAGCATCCCATCTGTGACTTACATTGCCCCAAGACATTCCTGTTTCGTTGGGCCCATAAATGTAATAAGTATCCCTTTGAGTGTGACAGAAGTGGCAGAGATCGAGATTCTCCCGACACCTCTCCCATTTCCGAATGACCAGTCATCTCTCCCAGTCACATGGGTAGCTACCTCCGCGGTTGCTATCATCCTCCTTGTCATGTCTTGCATCATCAACATCGTCGTCATCTGCCAAAATCTCAAACTCAAGCGTCGCATCAATGTCACTGAGAAGACAACCTCAGCGTCTCAAGCCGATCCGTACATGGAGCTACAGCCAACGGATGACAGTCACAGAGTCTACACAGAACCTGAGACTAGAGGATCTACCACAGCACACCACACGTACTGCCAGACACTTGGAGAAGAGAAGAAACACACAGATGATGACTATGAGAGACCAGACGACGAAACTGATTACGAAGTCACTAGTGTTCGTTTTTAGTTGGAGAGACAGAGCATGCATATTAAATACAATTGAAATTGTGCCTATCAAAAAATATACCAATTTGCTATCTTGAGTTCGGACTGTATCATTTAAAAATATATAATTACAGCTGACTGTGTGAATGAATGAGGACATCCTCTCAATGCTGTGATGGGCGTGTCCTCTCAAGAAAACCTCCTCATAAACTTTCTTGGTTTGCTGTTACAGATAATTACACCTTGACAGTCACCGGTTCTTGAGAATTAAAGCTTGACAATGGAAAAGTAATGGAATAATCAGCCATCGAGTCAAATGTCCAAGGTGTCAGCTCGTTGGGTCACGAAGCTCCTTGGATCTGATCAGAAACGGACTCGCACAGCATGCATGACATTTTGAGTTTGTTTGTGCGATTTTTTTCGTTTGACCGAAGTTTTCATTTCCCCCAAATTTCTCTTCCCCCCCCCCCATTTTCAAGGTTTAATTCTCAAATAAAACGGTTTTTGGTTTGTGGAAGAATTTTTCGTGTTCTTAAAACAGGGCAAAAGGCTCCCAGTTTTCTCTCTATTAACAATCCCAAGCAAAGTGTTTGACCTTGTCCATCGGACCCCACTATACAGTGTTTGTATTGGTATTAAATGTAAGGTATCAAAACATTGGGGTTTGACTTCAACAATCGCGGAGTTGGAATGCATGTTCGGTAGGCCAGCACGAATCTCATGTCATGGCCATTGCAGCTGAAAGAATTTTATTTTGTTCCAGTCTGGTGCCTGGATTGATTGAATGCGTGACATGACTGACCCTTTTTAGAATAAGAATCATTGACCAAAATAGACACCAGCTAACCTGTTGGTACCTGGAATTGCTAGAGTGTAGGGGCCTATGTGCATGAGTTGCACCCTGTAATTCGATTGAAAATATTGTCTGTCAGACACATAAACGGACAGCTAAAGTCATTTCTCTATTATGCAAAAGCACCCAACAAAATAATGGTTTCATATCCTGACTACACTGTAAAGGGCAAAAAGTATTGTACTTCGATGAGAACTGTTAGGAGCCTTTTCCAAATTTCAGCCAGCAGAATGTACTCAAGTCACAGTTTGAGAGCGACGTCAGGAAAATCCCCGAATCCTCAGTCAGAGAAACCATCCCAGTGCGACTTCACACGAACATGAATGCCATCAAGAATGCGAACGAGTACGCAGAGAGGCAGGGAGGTAGCACTTCCAGGGATGGGTCATACGAGGATGTGGAAGTACCTGCTCAAGAATAGGCTTGAGAACAATTGAGAATTCAGGATTTGTCCTGGTAGAACTCGCACATTGTGAGATGTTTGCATAAATCCCGTGTAAAATGACTATTTTAGAAAGAGAATTGTGAAACTGAAAGGAATTAAAAGATTACGAAGTTTTATTGCCTGCTGAGGACCGAAAGGTATCGAGCGGGGCTTAATTGAAGTGATTATGGCGGTGGTGGAATGATAAAAATGTGAAATGTTGTGCTTACCAGAAATCCGGAATGCTCGGATATTAGTTCGTTAAAATCACTAATTAATCTGTCCGAGTCTGATTTAAAACATGGCATGGACTTCGCCAGGATTGGGCAAGGGGAGGGGCGCTTCTACCCCCGGTCCCCCACTGGAAAAGCAAAAAATAATAAGGGAATAAATGTGTTCTCGAGAGGTTTTAATCACTCTGTTTGAGACTGCTTAGAGTCTGCGTGCAGCTGATAATTACCCGAGCCTCCGGCGAAATGGAATGGCTAAACTGTCTGCGGGTATTTATGAATAATAATTAAATAAGCAAAAGAAAAAAAGTAAAGGAAAAGAGATGTGAAATCATAATTGTTATTAATTTCATACACATTTAACCAAATGAGCGTCTGCAGGGGTGTCAATGGGGGTTAGTGGGTAAATGTCCCGGCCCACCTCGAAAAAAAATGATAAATTGAGAATGTGCTAGAGAAAGTTCAAGGATTTTTTGGGGAAAATGTGCTTTGGCCAGCCCCCCCCCCCCCCTTGGAAAGAAAACCTTGGCGACGTCCATGTTTACTGTTCACAAAACAGTTAGATTTTTCTTTGACCTGTTTGAATGAACTCGGTGGCCTGCTTTGTGTAAAGCTCATTGGTGAATGAAACCTGCACACGGAAATATGACGAAAAAAAAATAACATCTAAAGTGACTATACACGGTGTTGTTGTTGAACAGTATGGGTGTGTACACGCAAGCCACGCTCTGCTTGGTGCACATACGTACATGCACATAGGCATATTATATACATGATTAATGACCATTAATACTGGATTAGACTTGAGCAAAGTCAGTGCACAAGACATTTGAAATGGATCGGCTCTTCACGATGTATCTGTTTTTGCTGTGTTCTTGGAGTTTATTTAGTGGGTTCGGAGTGGTTGTCAACGCAGAGCCTGCAGTGACAGCGTGGATCATTACACCCGAGAGAGATAGGAAGTTCGGTGGGCGAGTTGAGATGAGGTGTGTGGCTACAAACCTTGAGGCTCATCACACCGTGGAGTGGAGGTTTCAGGATTAATCACTGAGATGGGGTAACGCTACTGTAGCAGGAACTGATCTGCGATTTATGTTTAAGACGAAGCAGACTGGTAACAGGGAACTTACTCAAGAATTCAATATCACTGATCTACAATGGAGGGACAATGGTGAATATGATTGTAATGGCTGGGATCACATACCAACTGGAAGAAACAGGATTGAAGCCAGCGCCAGGTTCACACTGTGAGTGTACTGGACCAGTGAGTCCTTTCCTATCTGCTCCCCTGATGGACCCATTACAGTAGACACTGGAACACAGTTGAATATGCGCTGTTCAGCTGATACAGGTATGCCGGTAACGGTCACTCCAATTCCCGCAATTCCCAACACTTACCCATGGATAACATCAGTCATCAATGGTACATCATTCAAGTCATTCGATTTGACACTTGATGCTTCCCATGACAATCTGAAATTCGAATGCAGCATCCCATCTGTGACTTACACTGGCCTAAGACATTCCTGTTTCGTTGGGCCAATTACTGAGTCACCGACAGGAATAACAGAAACAATGCAACCGGCAACAGAACTTCCAACAGAACCTGCCCAATCAACGTCCAGCACCGCTCTGATAGCAGGTGCATCTGCAGGTGGAGTAGCAGCAATTATCCTAATCCTGATTCTGATTCTGTTTTGTCGCAGGCGAATCCCCTGCGGCAACAACCACACCTCTTCTAAACCAAACACGGATTTGAACTCCAACGCAACACATATCGAGCATACAACTAGTAACCCTCGTGGTTTCGAGAACTCAGGACTTGAACATGACACCTACCATGAACCGAGTCAAGTCAGAATGAGTGCAAGACCTGAACAAGAGGCACAGGCCTCGTACTCGGCTGCAAACCAGGAAGCAGCGGTTACAAACAACGCCTCAGTGATGTACGCACAACCACACAAGTCACAAGCCAAAATTGAAAAGGAGGACGCTGCGGTGTACGCACAACCACATAAGCCACAATCCAGAACAGACAAACATAATGCAAAATTAGCCCAGGAGCCAGAACAGATGCACAGCAATCATGTCTTGGATTCTACCAACCCATACAGCCTCCCAGATCCACTTGGAAGTAGACCCACCGCGGTTCTCAAACCCATAGCCAAGGTTCCACCAACAACGAGAGTTCCCAAGAAACCAGAGCCCTATAAACCCAAAGCACAGCGGGCAAGCGTCCCACATGACATCATCGCTAGCCATCGGGAACCAGGGGAGTCAATACGCCCTAACTCGACCCCATCACAGTCCCCAATCACCCCTGATGACAACACCTTCGCCACTGCTACACCACCCAGCGAGTCGGCAATGTATGCCCAGGTCTCCTTACCACAAGCTGAGGTGACTGCTGTTCCTAACCCACCGCCACCATCACCTCCAGACCATCTTGTCTATGCTGACTTGGACTTGCATCCTGATTCGTCTGTAGATGTAAATCAGCCAGTGTCAACCACTCAACCACCGGCAGTGTACGCGCAAGTGATGAAGAACCGCCCAAAACCTGAAGACACAATGTGAGTTTCTCGACGACTTGTATGGAAAGGACACAGACAAAGCTATTCGGACACGCATTATTAACAATCAGTACAACAACGATACTATTATCCTGCGAGCCAATAGACCATTATCATGTTGCGGCTATTTGGATTTTCCCATTCAAATCAACGTAACCAAAGCGAGGCTGTAAGGAAAAATAGTCTGGTTCCTTTTTGCACAAAACATTATCATTCAGTACTGTTATTGGATACAGGGAACATGACTGAAATAGTGGCAGCATGAAAAAAGTCTATTCTTTTCGTTAGATAGATGCGATCTGAAGACCTGATGTTAATACCATTTAGTTTTGACAGTGTGTTTGGTGAGATAGGTTGAAGAATTCCATTGATTCTTACAACGAAATCATGGTTCATGTCTTGTTACATGCCTTCAGGAGATGCTTTACGGTTTGTGAAATAAGATATAACAGGTTGCTTTCCCGCCCTCTATCGACCAAATGATGCAGTAATGGTTGTAAATACAAGTCAATATTCTAACATCTTAAATCTGTAAATTAAGCGTTTAAAATGAATTAATTGGTGACGCGGTTTGTTTGGTATATCTAGAATGAGTGATTTTGCTTTTTGATTATAAGGTATCGTCACAACTGCAGTGCACATTATTTTCAAAGTATAGAACCTGGTCGTTATAGAACGCTCTCAAGTCCCGCCCTCTATCGACCAGTTCGATGCGGTTATGGCTGTAAATAAGGCAAGTAAGACATCTTTACCCGTAAATTTAATAAGTAGTAATGAGGTTGAAGATATTTACGTCACAAGAGTACACAGTGACTTACATGAAGTACACCGAAGTTTGGAAGAAGTCGCTACTATTCAACGGATGTATTATCCACAATTAATAAGAAATGTATAAAAGCACCATAAGATAATTCGTTAAGAGGTTTGATCGAAACCTAGCGTTAATTGTAAGATATTCGCCACAAAGTACACAGAATAAATTGAAAGTAAACAAAATGTCGATAGACAATAATAGTTACTGCACCAAGCGTATGTAATATCCAAGATTAAAAATCTATAGGAAATGTTAAAAATAATGAAAGCTTAGAAAGCTGGCATGAAGTAAAATTGACTAATGAATGAGGCTGAATGAACATTTTATCCACCTTTACTACGTACGTCCAAAATTTGTAGTCAGTACTGAACGAAGTGTTTAACATCCTAAACAAATTATGTGTGTTGATGCAAAGTTAATCGATATACATGTAGGAGGGGTGATTGATAAGTTCCTGGCCTTAGTAGAAGGCGATGAGCTATACATGTTTGACTGATATTGTGTGTAGTTCAACTTGAATGATTGCAAAGACAGTGTGAAATTATTAATTTTCTTGGTTTGCTGTTATAGATAATTACACCATGACAGTCACCGGTTCTTGATAATGAAAGCTTGACAATAGAATAATCATTCCTCGAGTCACAATGTCCATGGTGTCAGCTCGTTGGGTCACGAAGCTTCTTGGGCCTAATCAAAACGGACTCGGCACAACCTTTCAAGGGACAATGTTGCCATTTTGTAGATCGTTCATTCGATTTTTGTTTTGTTTTGATCGAAGTTTTAATTTTTTTCCCCTCCATTTCCCCCCATTTTTAAGGTTTAATTCTCAAATAAAATCGTTTATGATTTGTAGAAGAATTTTGCATGTTCTTGAAACGGGGCAAAAAGGTTCCCAGTTTTCTTTCTATTAACAATCCCAAGCAAAGTGTTTGACCTTGTCCATCGGACCCCACTATACAGTGTTTGTATTGGTATTAAAGTAAGGTATCAAAACATTGGGATTTGACTTCAACAATCGTGGAGTTGGAATGTATGTTCGGTGGGCCAACACGAATCTCATGTCATGGCCATTGGAGCTGAAATAAGTTTATTTTGTTCAAAGCTGGTGCCTGGATTGATGGAATGCGTGACATGACTGACCCTATTTAGAATAAGAATCATGAACCAAAATAGACATCAGGTATCCTGTTGGTACCAGGAATTGCTAGAGTTTATAGCGTAGGGGCCTATGTGCAGCAGTTGCACCCTGAAATATAATTAACAATATTATCTGTCAGACACACACACGGAGAGCTATTTCATTTCTGATAATATGTAAAACACCCAACAAAATAGTGGTTTTATATCCTGATTACACGGTAAAGGGCAAAAAGTATTGTACTTCGCTCAGAACTGTTAGAAGCCTTTTCCAAATTTCAGTCAACAATATACATTCAAGTCACATTTTGGGAGCGACGTCGGGAAAATCCCTGAATCCTCTGCGTAATAAGCCGTGCGTTTCACGTAAATCGACAGTTCTGGTTGCAGAAATATCTACCGAGAAGAAAATTTACCGGTTTTGATTTTAAGAATGTGGGAACATCGAACTCACAAAATGTACATATTGCGCTTTTAGGCATTTGCCGCAGGATGTACATTGCATTATAACACCTTCCAAGTCTTTAGGCCTATGCTAAATGAAGCTTGTCGCAATTCTGTATCAATTTCTCTATTGCTGTAAAAAGCGCCCTCTATTATCCAATCAGTCAAAAGTTAAATCATCTAATGGGTTTCTCACCGCTCTTAATAGTAAACTAAACGTATCATGCAAACTGACAAATCAGAAAAACGAAATATCGACTCAGGAAACAATTTACGGTTTTTTTAATACGAAGATCCTTGACAAAAGATCCTTGAGCTACGAAATCAGGTAAACTGTTTCATACTTATTTATTTTTCAATACAGATTGATTCATCAAAAAGGAGAAAAAAAATCTTGTTGAAGTTGTTTTGCTATTGTGACGCAACATAGCTGACCCTACTTGAAATATCAGTATTAAAATGAACCCAGAGTTGTGGGAACTCATTGTTGAAGTTCATTGGTGCATGAGGCTTGCACGCGGAAACAGCGGACCTACCTCAAACATAAATTCATGAGCGATGTGCCTTCCATCTACGTCGGGCTATATTGCTGTCGGCACGATTGGTTTTGATCTGCTGAAATCGAAGATTGATTAGTTTCAGATAGGAACTAGTTTACTTCCAGGAATACAAAACAAATGGACATGATGGTTCGGAAATTCTTCCTCTTTCTGTATGTGATGTATGCGTGGTGTTTATTTGGTGGATTTTATTCGTTGGTTGTCAGTGCAGAACCCACAGTGACTGCGTGGATAGTCACACCGGAGAGGAATCAAAAGATAGGCGGGAGCGTTCATATGAGATGCGTGGCCAATAACCTGGAAGCAGATCACATCGTGGAGTGGAGGACTGAGAACCCAATCAACTCACTGAGATGGGGTAATATGACTTTACGCGTAGGACATGATACACGATTTCAATTCGAGACGAAGCAAACAGGTGATAGGGAAATTACTCAAGAATTCATCATCACTAACCTACAGGGGCAAGATAACAATAAAGAATATGGCTGCAATGTCAATGACCCCAAAACAGGTGGTGGGACCGATATTGTGGCCAGCGCCAAGATCACACTGAGAGTGTACTCGCCCAGTGAGTCCTTCCCTATCTGCTCCCCTGATGGACCCACTACAGTAGACACTGGAACACAGTTGAGTTTGACATGTTCAGCTGATACAGGTAATGCGACAATCACGGTCACTCCAATTCCCGCAATGCCCAACACCTACCCATGGATCACATCAGTCGTCAATGGTAAATCATCCAAGTCATTGGATTTGACACTTGATGCTTCCCATGACAATTTGACATTCGAATGCAGCATCCCATCTGTGACTTACATTGGCCTAAGACGTTCCTGTTTCGTCGGGCCCATCAGTGTAATAAGTATCCCTTTGAGTGTGACAGAAGTGGCAGAGATCGACACAAGTGACGTTATTCCATTCACCACGACATCTCCAATGACTGTCTCTTCAATTCTTCCGACACCTCTCCAATGTCCAAATGGCCAGTCATCTCTCCCAGTCACATGGGTAGCTACCTCCGCGGCTGCTATAATCCTTTTTGTCATGTCTTGCATCATCAACATCTTCCTCATCTGCCAAAATCTGAAACTCAAACGTCACATTAGTGTCACTGAGAAGACATCCTCGATGCCTCAAGCCGATCCGTACATGGAGCTACAGCCAACGGATGACAGTCACAGAGTCTACACAGAACCTGAGACTAGAGGATCTACAATAGCACAGCACACGTACTGCCAGACACTTGGAGAAGAGAAGAAACACACAGAGGATGACTACGAGAGACCAGACGACGAAACTGATTACGAAGTCACTAGTGTTCGTATTTAGGCTGCGTTACACAGCATGCATATGAAATACAATTGAAATTGTGCCCATCAAAAAATATAACAATTTGCTATCTTGATTTCTGACTGTATCATTTAAAAATATATCATTATAGCTGACTGTGTGAATGAATGAAGACATCTCTTCAATTCTGTGATGGGCGTGTCCTCTCAAGAAACCCCCTCATAATCTTCTTGAGCACAAAGTACAATCATGCCCTAATTGCATTTTTACTCAATATTGTAATTTCAAAGCCATTGTTACCATTTACCTTGATGGCGTTATGTTTTATGTACCATCAACATCAGCTAAATTTGAAAGTTGATGCGTGATGTATTAAAACAAACTGTATAATGTGTATTTTTTGGCATTTCAAAGGCTTGTAAAATACAGCTGAATAATGAAAGGTTTGCGGAAACACCATGTGCGAATAATTTCTCAACGAAGAGAATGGTTCTGAAAAGAACCAGAGGTATACACTGGACGTTCCGGTCAGTATGCTCTGACCGTCTTCAGGAAAGTGGTCAGAGCATACTGACCGGAACGTCGAGTTTATACCTCTGGTTCTTTTCAGAACCATTCTCTTAGTTGAGAAATTATTCGCACATGGTGTTTCCGCAAACCTTTCATTATTTAGTATCTCCACCATGCAAAGCCTCAAATCTTACTTAAAATACAGCTGCTTGCTTGTATATATCAACTTGAATAAAATCAGTAACACTTTGTGAATAGTTAAATCAAAATGCAAAAAATAACAGTTACTGTGCCTTACAATATCTTTGAAAAATAGGATTTGAGATGCACACCAATGACCGGCACTTTTTAAGTGACTTCATTTAGAATAAAAATGACAAATGATGGGCTTGGATCAATAACAGTGCATGTAAATACTGCTAGGAAACTATTTCTTTTGAAAATCAATCTTATTTGTCAAACAATTTATAAACATTTTGGTTTATAGGGAATAATATGTATTAGCTTTTTATGTTTTGCAGTATGGATTTAACGGATGTAGCTCATTCCGAATAAAAAATATTCTGCTGTCAAATATAGCAAGTATTCCCAGAAAGAAAGTTATGTACCTTTTGTTATGTACCATTATGTCTGAACCTTTAAAAACGATCATACAACAAACACGCAAAACAAGACAACAGGGGTCCCTTCGGTTCTTTTCAGAACCACACATACCCACAAAAGAGATTTATTCATATGGTGCTAACGCAAAACTTATCTTGTCTTAGTATCTTTCCACCATGCAAACCTTCAAATCTCAACGCAACACATGTTCAATTCCCCGACTTATATAACAGATGAAAGCAGTTATTTTACTATTCCCTTTGCAAGAATAATAAGCAAATTGAGGTACAGTTCCTAAATCGGTGTACATGTTGCTTTATGGGGGGCACCAAGTGATGACACGACCATAGTTATACAGTCGGCTATTTATAGATGATCGCCTGCATTTGCTCACGTGACGGCTGACCCTGGTTTGAATATGAATGGTTAATATAGAAGTGCATTGGTGCATGAGACTTGCACAAAGAAATCATTTACGTAAAAATCCAAGTTCAAAAGTAACTCCACCAGTGTACATGACACGGGGCGATATCAACACGGGGTTTTCTTCTATCCAAGCGCCCTCTATCGTCAGAGTATATTGGCAATTCGTTATCAGGCTCTTGTCATTCAAAATAAGAGAGTAAAATCATTCGAGACAGGAATTATGAACAATTACTCATTGTCCCGGAAAACAGGCCTCCGTTTATTTATTCAAATTGCTGATCGGCACCACCCAGCAAATATAATGCTGACAAATTGCAAAGAAATTGGAGCTAAAAGCATGAAAACCGTGGCACGAAACTGACAAGAAACTAAAAATTCGACCTTCAACTTCAAGTTTTTTCTATCAAATCCGAAAAAAGGATTGTGTATGTTTAATATGAACAGCTAATTCTACACTGGATTTAGTTCCCGAAATGTGTTCAAATCTATTGAATTGAGTGTCAAGTTGACCCTATTTTGAATATAAATGAAAAAGGTATGAACCCCGAAATGTGTATCGTCATTGTTGAAGTTCATTGGTATGTGAGGTTAGGACACGGAAGTAAATCTGAAGAGTTAAAGCCACCAGACTATATCTGTAAATTGTACACACGCAACCCTGTGCATTCGTATTTCATGTATATAATTGAGCTGATGGAAGCTTTGGACGCTTGCTGTTTTAATATGTTCAGATAAAAGACCGATTTATTTCAACTTTAGGCTGTTGAAGAGATTTCGAAACAATGGCACAAGTGTTGCTGGTTTTGTCTGTGATATGTGCGTGGTGTTTCATTGGATTTGAACTGTTGGTTAGTGCAGAGCCCACAGTGACTGCGTGGATCATTACACCGGAGAGAGATTGGAAGATAGGCGGGCGAGTTGAGATGAGGTGTGTGGCTACAAACCTGGAGGCTGATCAGTTTGTGGAGTGGAGGACTGAAGATCCAACAATGACTCTACGATTTGGTACAACCACTGTATCTTCAGTCGACAGATATACGTTCGAGACGACAGATTCCGGCAGATAAACGACACTGATGAATATATCTGCCAAGTTCGGGAAGGAAGTTTCACTTAGGCTTCAGCTAAAGTGAACCTGTTTGTGTTGAACTTCCCCAGTGAGTCTTTCCCTATCTGCTCTCCTGATGGGCCCGTAACAGTAGACTCAGAGACAGAGTTGAATATGCAATGCTCATTTAAGGGGAACAGTTCAGTCTTCACAATGGAAGTCTTCCAATTCCCAAGACAGACAGACTTCACCCCATGGAGAGAATCGAGCGTCAATGGTACAATCTTCAGGTCATTTAATTTGACACATTTTCGCAACGATACTGCGTTTGCATGCCTCATCTCACCAAGGCTTTCCTCCGGCGTAGTCAGCCGATCTTGCATCATCGGACCCATCAGTGTAAGAGGATTACAAGAACCTATGACATCGACGATCAACTTGACCCCTGAACTTGACACAGTCACAGACATATACATGTCTGTGGACACAGTGGCCTTGCCAACAGCGCCCTCGACGACCGACATGTCACTTCCTATTCCATGGATCGCTGCCTGTGCAGCTTCAATCTTCCTTCTCGTTGCGTCTTGCATCGCACTCATCTTCCTGATTCGCAGAAACTCTCAACAGAAGCGTCACATCCAAAGACTGTCTTCCAGGAAGTCACAGATGGAGAGCGACTTGGGGGAAATCTTCGACTCCCCAGTCAGAGAAACCATCCCAGTGCGACTCCACACGTACATGAATGCCATCAAGAATGAGAACGAGTACGCAGAGAGGCAGGGAAGTAGTACTTCCAAGGATGGGTCATACGAAGATGTGGCAATACCTGCTCAAGAACAGGATTGAGAACGATTGAGAATCAGAACAATTTGGGAGAAGTTTGCGGACACACCCTGTGATCGACTAAAAAGTGACTGAAGAAACGAGTATGGTTCCGAGGAGAAATAATCTCACGTCTCTGGTCCTTCAGAAGACAATCTACTTTTTAGAATGAGTCGCGTCACGTCACGTCATGTTTCGAGTAATCTTTTTTCAAGTTGAGGTCACTTGTTCAATCTTGAATACGTGGAATATGTCTAAGATCAGAAACTTTGGTAAGTGATGCAATTTCCCCGAGGTGTTTAAATACGTAAATATGCTTACAATTAGAAGTAATTGATGCGGTATTGGCATGTACGCATAACAAGGTAGACAGAAAATTGCAGACAAATAAAAATATACCGCATTTATGGGTGCTTAGTTTTTGTTTTACCCCAAACATTTTGAGTTCCATTTTTAGATTTATATTCAATGTTTTTTTTTTAGAGTTTATAAAACAATATACACAGCGGTTTTCATATTTTCCTTTTTTTTTTAAGTAAGATTTATACTTGCGTGTATGCTATACATGTACATTCATTTTTTTCTTTTGCCTTTTAATCATCCTGCCTTGTTTTAGTAGTATTTTTTATTTTATCTTTGTTTTATCTCGGTAATCTTCCTTAGGCATATACAATTTCTGTGTTAATGTTTAAAAATATTATTTTTCTCTGTCAGAGTCTTATCTTATGAAATGTTTTAGATCATGTTGTCTTACATATTTATATATCTATACATAATGTACTTGCTTTTTTATAAGTATTAATTTAGCTTTTTAATCTTTTTTTATAGCTTGCTTTATCGGTGCAGCAGGTCCTCGGACCACAGTACTTGTACTTTTGCTGTAATGCTTTTGCCTTTCTTTGTTATGTTGTAAGATTGGCTATTAAAATAAACAATGATAATAATAACAATAATACAGACAGGTTGAATGAAACAAATCGTTTGTTGGAAAACATCAGAAACTGAATAAAATAGATCTTTGTTGTAGAAAGAACGCAATGGAAAAAGCAATGACAGTGTCATCCGCTGAAAGGCTGCATGACAAAAGAATCTTATGTAAATATGGTATTGTGTATACCCATATATCTATTTTGCAATTGGATTTAAAAATATTTTTAAATAATTGTATTGATTCGTCTAAAAGTTATTGAATTAAATTTTGTTTTCATTTCATGTATACATCTATATTGCAGTTGGAATGGGTACATTAATAGTGCGCTTGTTAATAAGAATGCAAATAAAATGTTGAAATCATTTTATAAATGGCTAAAATAATTGTTACGGAAGAGGTTGTTTGAGAATCATATTAATTGTAAAAAAAGTGGCAACCAAATGGAAAACGAAGAGTTTCTCGTATAATCGTCATACACGTCCTTATTGTTTGATAATTTTTAATAGACATTTCTCTCACTTAATATCTCCTAAATTAGGTGACGTTATCAAGGTTTTTGTTTCTTCTGGATTATGTAGAAGAGCAAGAAGATGTATTATTTGCCTGTCAATGGGTGCGTAGGCGTTTTGTCAAAATTTCAAGCACAAGGAAGTAATAAACCAAAAATATCTGTTTGTGGTGGATTTTCACATGCTGTGT